ATTATTTGATAGGAGAGTGAAATGAAACTCTTGACATATTTAAATTAAGGCTAATGACCTCTCGAAAGGGTTAAAGTTACGAAATATTTTCGTCTCCGTTTGTTGAAACTGTTCTCAATCAACTTATTTAATTAAATATTGTTACAATATATATCAATTTCATGCACATTTTCACTTTTTTTTTATTATAATTATGTAAATACAAAGTGTAACAAAAGTTGTCCGTAGGATTTTAAAATGAAAACAATCAAATTCTATTAATATATGATTAATTATTTAATTATAAAAGTGAGTAAATTTGAACAATTTCGAATCTTTTTTCGCTTTTTCATTTATAATTTAAATTAAATTCAAGCTTTTTAGTTTTTTTTTAAAAAAAAGCTTGGCATTTAAATAAGGAAAGAGAAAGAGAAAATTTGAAAACGATAATATATTATTTAGATTATTAGAATAGCAGTTTTGACAATTTTACTACCAAATTAATTAAATCACACATTAGTACAGTTCACTAATCACATCACCAATAAACCAATCACATATCATAACATCCCAAATACAATCAATAAATCAAACGACAATAAATTTATAATTATTTCATTCCCTCTATAATTTATTTTAGAACCCTTCCACAATAATCTCGCTTTAAGTTATTTAATAATAAATTAAGCTATCTAACAATAAAATAAGAATTATTAATTAAAAGTATAAAAAAAAACACTTACCAATGTATAAAATGCAATAAGGATGGTAGCCAATGATAAACCGCAACAAAAGCAACTTTTAATTTGTACTTCAATCTTCGCCATCCAATTTCACTTCAATTAAATATTATTCATTAAATTACAGGTTCGAATTAAATCACCTTGATTTTCATATCATGATTTTTTTCGTTTCTTCTCTTTTTTTCTGTTAAGAGAAGAAAGATAAAAAGAGAGAGAAATTGTTTTTTTTTTGTGTTTCTTTCCCAATCTCTTCTTTTTCCTTTGTTTCTTTTTTTCCTTCTCTCTCTTTCTTAATTCGGAAAAAAACGAACAAAATATAAAAAAAAAACATTTGTTAAATTTCATCTCAACTGAAAAGATTATAGTATGAAATGAAGTATTAAAATGAGAAGATGGAAGAAATGATGATGGCAAACAGTAACGATAATGACTGGTTCTCATTGTAACAGGAATTAATGGAGAAGGAGGAGAAGGAGGAAAAGGAGGAGGAGGACGGGGATGGGGAGGGGGAGGAGGAGGAGGAGAACGAGGGGGGATGAGGAGGAGGAGGAGAAAGGGGAAGGAAGAGGTGGAGAAGTGGAATAAATGCGGACAGATCAAAAAACCGGTAAATTTTGGACTGATTGATAGGATGATAGCAGCAGTATGAATGCATCCATACTGTTTCCTTTGTTCGAACGACAATTTCGACATTATCAGTATAGCTCGACGATCACGTCAACGACAACGATGACGCAAACATGACCCAAACCTCATCGCTGTCGTTACTTCCCAATCACTATCGATGAGTCAATAAGTTTCAAGGACACACACACACACACACACGCACACACACACACACACACACAGATACACACATACACATACATGAGTATATATTAATATAAACATGCAGAACTTCACGGTTATGCAGCTGGACAAGTTAATAATAATATATAATCTTTATTGTTATAACGATACACCACACACGCAAGTCGTCCACCCATATACACACCCACACACCCCCACACACATCCATACGCATTCACACACACCCACACACACACACACATACACACACACGTACACACACACACACATACACACACATACACACATACACACACAGATGCACACACAGATGTACATTTTAGCAGTTGTCACAATTTACAATCGACAAAAATGATTCTAAAAGAAGTGATATTAAAGTAGCGAAATTTTAAAAAGTCATATTTCTGGACATTAACTGAAATCAACGTATAAACGTGAAAACACATATGAGTTAAAAATCCGTGACCGATATGAATGTGCAACTATTGAAATAGTGATAAGATTATATGAATGACAGGTGAAAAAAAAATATGGCAGGACATAGTGATATAGTATCACACATGAGATTCACTTTATAATAGATAAGCCAAGGTAACATATTTGACGTGAAAGATGAGAAGAAAAGCCAAAGATAAATTAATAATATCGTTGATTTAATTCAAACTAAAATCTTAATAAAGAAATTTTAATTGATCATTTGATTAAATTAATCGTAACACTTGTTATTTGATTAAATAAAAGATCCAGAAATTATTTTGTTTAAAATAATTTCAGAAAATTTCAATTTGGTTTATTGAATAGAATTTCATATTATTTGACATAATCATTATTAATTTATTTATTTGTTAAAGATTTACTTATGTGTTCATTGATTTATTATCGTAAATGTCTGAATTAATTCTAAATAAAAATAAAAAAAAAAAACATTTTCAACATCTTTTACTAATACTTTGATTCGAAATTGGATTTCATTTTAGGAGTATGCTTAACAGGAATGTAACATCCTTCTTTTATTTTTAGCAATTAAATATTCTTTCTACTTTAATTTATTATCGCTTCTAATTTTATTTTAAATTATTTCCATTTTTTGATTTTTCTTCAATTTTTTGCAATTTTTCACTTATTATTATCATATTACATGAAAAACTATGTATTTGACGTGAATATCTTGATCACAATATTTTTCATTACTATTTATTTATTTTCAATTAATTTATTTTTTAGGAAACTTTGATATTGATTATTTCCGATATTATATTTCACGTTTTTTCATGATACGATTGTTACGCCAACGAATTTTATACTATCAATAACATTTGTAAACAATGTACGATAATAACATAAATATAATTTGAATTTCATTCATCACTTCATTATTGAATTAAATGAAGTAATGAAAACAAGAAAAGGATGAACAAACGGATGCAAAAATTAAATGAATAAATGTGTAATGAATGAAATTAAAATGAATATACATTATTTTGCGAATAATAAAATTGATTGTATATTTGAAAATATTGAAAATATAAATTATAAATCAGAATTGTTATTTCTTTTTATTATATTGTACCATATTACAGTACTAACATTTATATGTTTGCCGAAATATTCTAATAGTTTCATTACAATAATATTAAAGACGAAAATTTCGTGTTTTATTTTGCTACAATACTAATCTTTATATAATAGTAATTTTTCCGTATTTTTTACCAACTTATTATTCTTTATGTTGTTAATACAATATCACGATATTCTATTGTATTTTTTATGTTTATGATACTACTTTTACCGTGACATAAATGCCAACTTTATTACAGACCATTGCAATTACTAATAGTACTGATTTTTTTTTTACTAATTTTATCTGAAGCATCAAATCAAGAAATTAGAAATTTCCTTTTTCTTTTTAATTATAAATGAAATAATTGCAATAATTACAATAATGCAATCCCGAGTTGATTCATTGAATTTGACTTTCATTATTGCTACAAACTCTTTGCTTCGATCGTTAACATTTGCCAATGGAAAATGAAGCTGACAACAGAAAAAGACTTTCAAAGGTCGAGGTAGAAAATCAGTCACCTCTGAATATTTCTCGATTAAAAAAACAAAAGGAAAAACCGGATGGACGGATGCAGATGGGGGCAGAGAGGGAGAGAAACAGAAGAGAGAGAGAGAGAAAGAAAGAAAGAAAAAGATGGGGAAATAGTTTAGAAATATTTTGAACGGAAATGATTTATTACCGGAGGCTTGTAGCGAAATGGTGGGAGATTATTTAAATCGAAATTTTAACTTTATATTTCTCCCAGAAATAATATACATGTTGCATTTTCATTTCTTCCTCAGTTGCCTGACCCATTTTGGTATGTATTTGATTAGTTTACTAACCAAAAACTAACAAATCAAAAAAAAAAGAAGAACGGCCAGTGTTTCAACAAATTTACACTTTTAAGATTGGTTAAATTTAGATAATTGAAAAGGAAACAGTTTAAAAATTATTGACATGGCTATCTGACCTGTTTTTCTTTTCCTTCTTTTTCTTTTTTTATATAATTGAAAAAATTGAGTTGGGTAAAGTGCAGGGTCAAAGATATGTTGTAGAGAATTGAAGATTGAAAGTTTGATAAAAGTTTTCTAACCATATTCCATCCATTCCAGACAATTTTGTGAGAAGATATCACGAACTGTGCTGTAATATTATGTAATCATTTCGTCATTTCTGTATTTTATCACTGTTACTTTTTGAAGATACTATTCTAAAATCAACTTGTCAAATAGATGCTTAAGACTTTTTGTCGCAATGTAATTTTTTTGTTCCTCTCCATAAATTAGTTTCCTTTGTTAGTAATCAATATCATTTTTTTATTAATATCCTTATCAAATATCCTTATCATTTTTTTTTTGAACGATGAAAAGAAAACGGAAAAAGCTGTTCTAATGTTTGATAGATAAGACAGTTATTAACATTCTTTTGCATTTTTCAACACGTTTTACGGCATTTTTATCAATATCCTATAGACAGAATTATCGTTTATGTTTCCATCCATTTATTATAGCTGAGATTTTTTCTTTTTTCTATTAAATCAAATTATAAATATTTTTTAAATAGTAAATTTTTTGTATCAATTTTAGGACCGCAAAAACTTTTGTGGAAGTGAACAAAAACGAATTAGCAGCAGATACGAGAATGAACACAACTGATGGCTCCAACATTGGCAGATAGTTGGTTAAAACTGAAATTTTAATTTGTTGTTAATATGCACTAATTTTCCATAAATTAAAGATTATTCACAAGAGTTCTTTTACTCATCAATGATAAGTGAGAAAATTTTACGAAATACTTTAGTTTTATGATTATGTATATATATTTGAGACATAAATTAGTCCATATTAAAGAAGAAAGAAAAACGATGAATTACTTACAAATATTACGAATATTTTCATTCATTTAGCACAGAAAACAATCAAATGCTTTCTTCATTTTCTGGTTTTCGTCGTTTTTTACCGTCGGATAAATCAGTAAAGGGTATTCTTATTGGTGGATTTACTGGTGGTATCGAAATATGTATTACATTTCCAACTGAATATGTTAAAACACAATTACAATTAGATGAGCGTTCAGCACATCCAATTTATAAAGTTAGTTCTTTTTTGCTTATCATGTTTAGTCCATCTGCTTTCCAAGATCTCATTAAGAAGTTGAATTTTTGTAGAAATCTTCATTAGATAGATTTCCATATGAGAAATGGGTGTTACTTTGACTTTGTTTCAGGGTCCAATAGATTGTGCCAAGAAAACAGTTCAAACAAACGGGTTCTTAGGATTATATCGCGGATTGTCCGTATTAATCTATGGTTCCATTCCAAAATCAGCACTGAGGTATAGTCGAATTTGCTCCTTCCAAATAATGTAAATGTGTCAGTAATACCAGAGTGAAATCATATTATATTTTCAGGTTTGGAACATTTGAGACTTTAAAGGGATATTTCGTTGATTCGAATGGCAATCTTACACCGATGTGGAGGCTTTTTTGTGGCTTTGGTGCAGGTAAAAAATTTATATATTTTCTCAGATAGCATTTATATTGATGTGTTAATGGTATCTCGATGTTTTTTTGGACAGATGTCTGTATGTCACCAGTAAATTTGTAGTAAATTTTGCTGTCAATTTTCAGTTTTAGCGAATTAAAATAAATTTTCATAGGTCTTTCGGAAGCGGTGTTTGCTGTCACACCAATGGAAACGATTAAAGTGAAATTTATTCATGATCAGCAGTTGGGTAAACCAAAATTCAAAGGTTTTTTTGGTGGTTTGAAAACAATTCTGCAAACCGAAGGGTTGCGAGTCAGTAAATACTTTTTTATCATTATAAATTGACAGATGTGTTATTTTCCATATTCCAATGTAATCTTTAAAATAATCGACCCAAAGATTACTGTGTTGCAGGGCTTGTATCAGGGTGTTACAGCTACAATGGCAAAACAAGGTTCTAACCAAGCGATCCGATTTTTTGTAATGGAAACTTTGAAAGACTGGTAAAAATATTTAACATTTTTCTATTACATTAAAATTAATTTTGCATAAACAATGAGTCATTCGAATTGAATTATTCATATTTATTACTGTCTGATGATGATAGTAAAGAACTTGCAAACAAAATACTATTGGTGATAGGTATCGTGAAGGAGATAGTTCGAAGACGGTTAGTAAACCAGCTACAGCGTTATTTGGCGCATTTGCGGGTGCATGTTCCGTGTACGGTAATACACCAATTGATGTTGTTAAAACTCGAATGCAAGGTTTGGAAGCTAAAAAATATAAGAATACAATCAACTGCGCTTATCAAATTTTGAAAACTGAAGGATTCTTTGCGTGAGTTTAATTTAATGCAAAAATTATTCTAAGATAATTCAACATATGTAAAAATACGCCACTAAGTTATCCTAATTTTGAGTGACAGATATTTCTGAATTGGGCAGGCATCATATAGAAGGCATTTCGAGATGGCATTAAAATAAATCTTTTGAACTCGATCATATCTTTTTATGATAGCACTCTATTATATATAAACATGAAAAGTAAAAAATATTTCTGCACAAGGTTAAATTTTCATTTAAATGCAGTCATTTTAGATTTTACAAGGGCACCGTACCTCGGCTATGTCGTGTTTGTCTCGATGTCGCGTTAACATTTACTTTATACGACTCGATCATGGAATATGCCAACAAATTATGGAAAACTTAGCATGAATTTTTAATTCTTCTTTCACGCCTACACATTTTAACCTAGGTCGCACATTTCATCTCACATGAAGTTGGTGAGATAACGAAATCCTTCAAATTGAAATCGAAAGTGGATGAAAGCCAATTAAGAATGGGTAAAGTAATTTCGGAACAGAAATTTCACCTTAAAAGAAAATGGGTTTATCGACCATTTCGTATTCTGATTTGTATAAGCAGCCTTTAAGGAATTGAATTCTGATCTTCTTTAAAAGTATATACACCGAGATTGTTCAGTTTAAAGCTTTTTGTTTTTTTCCATACCAGCCATAACATGTGCAAGAAAACTTTTATATGATATGAACTTTATCTGAACAACCATTTCTTAACGTCAACTTGATTCAACTTCGATTGTATTTTGTGAAGAACTCGTGAAATTTCCAACTTATATAATAAAATGCACACAATCCAACATTGTAACTTTCATTTTACAGCATAAAACAAAACATTTAATGTACAGAAAAAGACGTGACAAAATGTACAGAACACAAATATCAATGGATTTTTTTTCTCCTCTAGATATTATTATTTGCAGATAACAACTGAAAATTATTATAGGCTCAAAAATTCAAGACCATGTAATGTGTGGACAGTACGCTAAATCGCATTTGAAAAGTCTGCACCTACATAAATCGATAAAAATGCCTTATGTCATGTCCCTCCTTTATATTTTAGATCTAACCGAATCTAAATTCTAAGGATAAAAAGTTTTCTAAATATACATCTTAGCAAAAAACATTTCAAATAAAAAAAAAATTCAATGAAATTCATGCGCATGTGTTGAAAGATGTTTGATCGCCAGTGAGATCGTGTGAGATCCGACAGTTCTCGTTGTTACTTTTCCAAATAACTCTGCAAACCATATTGCTAGTACGTGTGGACACTGAAACAATTTTCGATGAATTACACTATTATAAGATCGAATTTTGGCAAACAATTTGATGAAATAAATTGGCAATCTTACTTTGGTTTACAATTCTTATTTCTCATTCTGCCATTATTTCTCAGCTATTTCATATTACATCACTTTAATATGTTAATGTAATGTCAAGCGGTAAGTGTTTCTCTAGTCAATTCAAAATGAAAATACAGTATAAGCTTTTCTAGTCTGTATTTGTCTATGTAATAAATAATTCAGTAATCTATTTTATGTAAATATTCATCATCTCTTATGATTAGTGTAAATTTGAAACACTCTTTACAAACGAGAATAATCAATAAGAAACATAGCAAATTTAACATCAGACAATAAAAAACAATAAAACAAAAATATTGAGTTTGCATAAATCAATGGAAGCACTTAAAAGACATTTTATATCTTAGAGACAAAATCATACAATATATGTTTAAATTTATGCAACAAGTAACTGCAGTTTTATGATGGTTTATTATCCCTAGATCCTTCCCATTCGAAATATTTACATTTCTCAGGATCATCTCGGCCTTTTGGACATGTCCAGAAGGCGCGACCATGATTTGGACCCTAAAAAATAAATGAATCCTTATATATCAATTTCATAACTGCATTGTTGAAGTGATTCTTTTTCGTCTTTATCACTCGTAAAACCACCATGATTGAATACTTTACTATTTCAGAATTTGGCAAAAGCGCTAACAACAGAAATTAACTTTTGAAGTACTGAACAGCTCACGATATTTTATTAAATCCCATGATAATAATTTAGAAATTACCTCCTTTTTAACAATCAGACGTTTTGCTGCTTGTCCACAGGAACATTGTCGTCCCTGTACAGCTCTATTCCGACCTCTCGAACGACTACCACCTGCACCGCCGCTTGCCCTTATTCGACCCCGTGTTCCAGTATTCGAATGCAATATAGAAAGGGCTAAACAAATTTTTGAATATTCCACTAAGCTTCAGAATTTAAGACAGCGTATTTTTATCGTAACCGCAGATAACATAAAGCATAATTCTCCCAGTATAAGCTATTAAAAATTTCATATATTTACTAATAACATAGAGAATCAAATAATTATGTAATAAAACTCATTTAAAACTACGAGCTAACATGTTAAATCAATTTGTAGAATGTCTGGCGAATTTAATGCAGTACGAGTGATGAATGTCCATAGGAGTGATAGGATAAAATTCAGACTACAAGTATTAGCAATATAAAATTTCTAGGAAGTTATAAATGGAATAAAGTAAATACATGAAAGAAATTCAATGTCGTTAGCATTGGTTGTCGCTAATTGTCCCTCAGTAGCAACCGTCCTGGAAGTCGATTGGTTAGTAGCATGACTTCCCAACTTGCGACTTCTACTACGTCTTACGGTATTATTGTTCCTCGATGTTGAAGAAGCACGACCAATTGCCATGTTCGTGTTATTCGGTGATTGCAGGTTATTCCTCTGTTGATTTTCCGGTATCGATGTTCTAGGGAGATTTTCACGCTGATCCAAATACTGACGCAAAGCATTTGACAGCATTTGAATTTTATCTTCTGCTTGTTCAAATATTGCCCGATATCTAGCGATCTGTTCCTTTAGCACATCATCCTTATTCCTGAAAGATTCTCCCTACAAATCTTCCAAACATCATTCAGTTTGAAATTTTGAAAACAAAAGAGATAATACACAATCATAATATCTTTCTCCATTTTGATTTAATCAAAATCTTTCAGCATTATTAAGTTTGAAATCAAAAAATCAAAAGGCTCCAATCAATAAACTAATCCTAACAATAATTTTCAAGTAAATCTTCCGAAAACTCTAAATTTAAGTGTTCGAAAAGGAATATAAATTGAAAGTGACAACATGAAAAAAATTTAACCTTTGTCCAAGACAAATAAGTTTCAGCTGCGACTCCAGGTCAGCACGCATGTGCGGTTTGCTCATAGCATAACCCATTCGATCATATCCATCAACAAGTGCTAATCCAATATAGCCCGGAACGAATCGCCCATCGTTATTTAATGCGGCATATTGGCGTGTTTTAATTGTTTCAATATGCTCCGCATGCGTAGCATCCGTCCCAATACCGTATTTGTCCATCAATGCAATCAAATCAGCTGCAATCAGAAATACTCCACTAATAAAAAATCATTTTTAAGATTTCTCCTTTTTATAAAATTTGTTCCATGAAAATTTAAAATATTATAGTACATAATATGTTAAATTCAAATCTCAAATTTGGGTGACCCGAATAATCTAATTTTTGAAAATAAACAAAGGGGAATATATATATCGAAAACATATATAATTACACCTTCATTAAGCAACTGAGGCGGCTGCGTTTGTCCTTCTGTTATTTGCAACTGATAATTGGTGATTAATTCATTTTCGTGATAAGAGGGCAGAATTTTATCACTCCATTTATCATATTTATACACGTTGAGATAGCCATAATCTTCAATTATAAGCCCTGACGCCGTAAAGTTTTCATTGCCCACACGAACCTAAATTGGAGAAAAAAATGAGCTATTCAGAAATATCACAGAATAAAGCTAACTATGCATAAATAACCATAGTCAGTTTACTTGAACTTTAGTCTCTTGCCCTTTTGCGTCGACAGAAAGGCAAGCAAGAAAATGTCGCACAATAAATTCATATAGCGACCATTCCAGTCCGATCAACTCATTTGCTGTAGCAAATTTTAATGGATGAATCGGGGGATGTGCTTCATCAGTTTTTGAACCATTTCTCGGACTCGGACCACGTGCGGCAATCTACAAATAAATCAGCTTTTCAGTTAAGACCGGAACCTTTTAGTTTAGATTGTATTTTTTAAAACGTAAGAGAACTGTTTTTTCCTCAATATTATCAAAATATTATAACACTACATATAAATGGATCTTTATACAAAGAAAATCACGTGGTATATGTGTGACAATGTAGTGATATTAATAAACCATGATATTGATTAAATGCGTCATGTTGTCAGTATAGCTATGAAGATCAATCTTGAAGGAATAGATATGCCGTACATTTTCTTTAAATTCTCTTGGGATATAAACTTTTTGTTCCAAGACAGTTTAAATTAACAGATTCTGAATCATCTAACAACTTGAAACTAACCTCTTGTGCAAAGTCTCCCCATTCTCCGCTTACCGTTTGCTGTTGTACGTATATGTTCAAATCCATATCTTTAGGAAACTTGTTTGTTTCTGTACGTGGATATGATATGTAACCTGAAAAAAAATTACAAATAAAAATGCAAAATAGTACTTGGGAAATTTTAAATAATTATCTAGAAAAAAATTTTTAGAAAATACAGAATTTGATACCTTTATTGTACAGTCGTTCGGCCACAGTCATTGTCTCTTTGGCACTGAATTTTAACTTCCGAACAGCTAATTTCTCAAGTTCAACAGTGTCGAGTGCAACAGGCCTCCATTTATTCTTCGGCTTCTTTATTATAGATAAAATTCGGGCTTCTCTTGCTTCTTCACAATCGTCTAGAAGCACCTAAACATCATGTATCATTGGACTATATAAATGAGTTCCAACTCTTATGCTTATAATTTGGATGAAGACGAGACTAATCACTATAAAAATTCATCTTCCGTTGCTGACATCAACTGCAAAGCAGTGAAATTTTTTCACTTACTTGGACAACGTCACGATCAAAAAGTCTTTGACGATCCCAAACAAATTCAACCATAATATCTTCTCGCTCATGTTTCATAGAAATCTTCCAAAATGTTTCCGAAATAAATTCCTTAATGGTTTGGTAACGCTCGACAATAAATCCTAATGTTGGAAATTGACATGAGCCATAACTGACGACACTCTTATCCCGAAATATATTGGCGAAATTATTCCTAGAATTTATCAAAATTATAGTATTTGAATATTATAATTGGCCAAAAAATCAAGAAATGTAACTGAAACAAAAGAGACCTTAAATGAAGTGTCTGAAGCCGCGTAAATGCTGCACCAATTCGTAAATCCAATTCTGAACTGAAATGAATCAAAATGTATTTACGAATTCCAAGGAGTAAAAAGGAAGATTGAGTCAGTTTGTTAGTAATGGAGAAGTAATGGAGAGGTTTGTTAGTAACTGAAACAAATTAAAAACAACAAACCGGCATTCAACAGCATCCACTAGCCGCTGATCCAACCTAACCAAATTATTCAACGCACGATTAACAGCTGTATTTGTAATTTCAGAAAATCGAGCCCGATAGACATTTAAGTTACGATTAACTTGCGTACATACAGATACCACTTCAGCTCCAATAGCTTCACCTTCTCGATCACAATCGGTCCATATTACAAGCAGCTATAGTGATAAAAGCAATTAATATTCTGAAATTTAGCTTAACAGATAAATACCTTTACATTTTCAATTATTTCACTTTTTTAATTAGAATTATTGATTTCTCCATCGATCCATAAAAGCACTACCAATATCCGAAAACAAATGATCGCCAATGAAACAGATATTTTAAGCAAAATTAGAATCAAAAATCAGCTTCAACAAACAAAGACATGGTAAACAATTATTTATAGAAACATATTCAAAACTTACATCAGATTTCCGTACCTCTTCGATTAATGTAGACTTGACATCTTCCATTCCCGGAATAGTATTTTTTTGTACATTTACATCGAATAACACTTTGATTGGAGTCTCAATCCAATTTTTGAAAGATGCCGGGAATTCATGCTGAAGTAAATGGCCGGAAACACTTGTCATTGCGACATGACAACCTGCGTTTTCTGAATTGATTTGTGTATTTTAAACTAAATTGATATTTGTTTTTTTTTTTGATCCTGCTCATTTATTTCCTCAAAAAAATTTTGAAAGACATATGTTTTTCGTGTAGTCATCCTTTTTGTACCTATATACTTCAATTCATTTATAAAACTCAGAAAATAAAAAGATGATCTAAAATGAAATTTGAAATGTTATACTATGTAATCATATGTTAGAACAAGAACAATCAAGCTTTTCAACTCATATTCTTTAAGAGAATATCGCGTCATCAAATACTGTATACATTAATAATACGATTTAATATAAGCAGCAATAGCTATAAATTAATTATAAAACAATAAAAAATAACTTACGTCCAACATTCGCAGTAAACTGATAAATTTTATTAAAACGACTACGACCGTCACGTCGCGTAGAGGTACCGCGTGATAATATTGCCGCAATACTCTTTGCTGCATCATTTTTTTCGGCTACAAATAAAGCACGCATAGGTATATTGAATCTAAAATGATAAAAAAATTAATGCAAATATACGACACTGCTATATCCACATTAGGTCTCCTAATGATACCAAAAACTTAACAAATATCATTAAAGTTGTCGAAAAATTTCGAGGATATCTTGGACACATAATCTAGCGATCCTTGTCAATATTCTAGAAAGTGCTCTTACTCTTTTCATAAATTGCCATATCTTATGTTTTACGAGAAGCTTGAAATCCACTCATTTTTTGCAACATTGATATGACTGCATGACCGGTACGTATGAATACCAGTATTTTTCAAAAAGATTCATAAAGTCAAAGTTCCTACCATTCTACGTTCACCAAAATCCATTTCGATGATTAGTTACTGATAGCTGGGATCAGTAACTAGCATATAGTATATTGGGTTTTTCTTTGCACATATTTAAAACGATGATAATTTCCACTTTTTTAGGAACAAAAACAAAAATAATTGTATCGCCATTAAGCAACGATGAGAAATGAAAACAAGAATAGGAAATTAATAAAAAACCGAGGAAAAAAAACTATAACAAATACGACCAGTATTACGACAAGACTTTTTATTCATGAGAACTGCGTAAATATCAAAAAATTCAAATACACGATAGGATGATTATTTAGCAAAAACCAATTACTAACTTTAAAAAATACTTGACATAATTTGTGCATACAATTACTATTTGTATATAAAGAAATGTTGAAACAATATGATGGAATACAAATAATTAGTTTTGTTCAATCTGGAAAAACATAATTTGTAACTGCGCAGCCCTACTAAAGCTTATTTTTATTTTCATCTACTTGATAATAAATCATTCAATCTAAATAAACTATCATAAAATAAATTGATAACCTTAAAATTAATTCAAGCTTACCGTAAACGATCGTTGCCGTTTGACAACTGAAAAGAAAAAACCATCACAAAAATGATATCATTAATCCGCAACAATTGGATCTTAAATAGCAAAATCTGTGGTATTTATTGGTCACTCATACGAAAATTTGGTCCATTAGGGATCATTTTTTATAAATCGTCCCACTCTTTAAAACATTCCATTTCAAGTAAAATTAGCTGTTTGAGTGAGTCCACAATTGTGATAATGTGTTGAAATTATGCAACAAGATTCTTAGTTATGTATTTATCTACAAAAATTTGCTAACTTCTTTTGACTTTTATTTACTTTAAAAAAAGAACATAATATATCTTAAATAAAATACATGATAGTTTCGCAGTTTTTGATAAATAGATAAGCAATTGATAAGTTAACATACCTCCCTGGAGAAAATATGAACACTGGCAATAATTGACCATCGGAAGACAAGTATATGTACATTGGGAATGTGTTCCGGATACCTAAATAAAAAAAATGTAATTTGCCGAAATTATGGTTAAGATGTGACTTACAGATTTTTTCTCGGAGCATCATTGTTTTCACGTTCATCGGCTTTATCCAGGTAACATTTTTACTTGGAAAACAAGTACTCATAACTTCAACTCCTATGATTGAACGCTAAAACAAGCAAATAATTTCTTCTATCTTTTCTTTTTATTCTACTTACCTCATATATATTTCGACCATGAACGGGATCTTTGAGTAGGTAAACATTGCCGTTATCTGCTAGAGATACCGCTTCCAATACAATACTTCCGAAACAACGGCAAATACTGTAAAAGAGAAAAGAAATACTATTATTCTATTGAAAAGATGCAATCGCTTTCTTTCAGACTTCGGCTACATGATTCTTAAATTTACTCAGCATAAGCATGCAAGTTTATTCTTTGCATCATTAAGTTGAAAATTTATTTTGCTTATGCTTAATTGGTTCAAACACATAAGTGAAACACAAAACCCAACTTACGGTTCTAAAACGTCCAATAAAGTCTTTGAGTTTGAAGGATCATTGTGATATTCTACAGCCTCCTTTGCAACACACACGGACAATTCCCGCATTATCAGCCGAATTCGTGATGCTTGCAATAACCGATCTGTTTTATTGTCTAGTCTATTCAAATCTCCCATGAAAAACGATCCTCAAGGAAGTCTCTAAACATTCGAAATAGAAGTTGGTAGGAAGATAAAAATTAAAGTTATATATATATACATATTCGTACAAAAATAAAAGACATCGTTTGCATGAATTCAATATATACATTATACAGAATAAAGAAATTTGAAGAATCAAGCAATTATATCAAAATATACGGCACCACAAGTTCTGTTACAAAAGGGTAAATTATTGTTGGGTTTCAACTTTTTAAGAAAAATGGAGAAAAATTCTAGAAAATATATTTTATTGGTGCAAACGAATGTATAAATACGTGTTAATTGAGCATAACTATATACAATTTTGAATGAGCAGTTTCAAGATTTATATATCTATAAGGTAAGTAAAGGAAGAACAGGCATGTCAACTGATTGTCTGTTATCGTCGCTGTCTTCCACTTCATCATTTGCTTTCTCTTTCACCTGTAACAATATTCATAACTGATCACAGGTATCGCTAATTTAATTCTCCCAGATTACCGCTTTTTTTTCAGAATCAGTGTTATTATCCTTCAAAAGACTACTTTTTTTCATTTTGAAAAAATATTTTAGCGACATATTCTCTCCATTCTTCATAAGTATTGATAAAATTAACTTCAGTTATTTCCTTCATTTTAAAAAAAGATAGAGATTCATGTGTTCAAAATATTCGAAAGTAGGAGTTTACCACATTTCTATTTTCTATCTCTGCCGGAGAGATAACGTAATGGTGGTCTGTTTTTTCAATTTCCTCAACGGTACCCATTTCAATATTATCAATGATGACGCTGTACTCATCTCTTCTATATCGTGATCTTCGTTCTCGTGGTCCTGAATGACAGTTTTCAAGAATATTTCAAGAGAAATTGTCTTATTAATCTTCATTAATTTTGTAATCTTATTCAGACTACACCCGACAAGAATATAAATATTCTCTGCATTGGATTTGGTTTTTTTATTTTTATATCATTCATGGTAAATAATAAGCGAGGTTCTGGTAAAGCCAAAAAATTCTAAAATGACATTTTATCCTACTCGTGTACCTCGTCTTTCTCCTTCTCTGACATGATTGTTAATGATATGACGATCAAGATTACGTTTGGTGATGCAACAGTAGGAACATTTTGGGCATGAATAAGGTTTTTCACCTGTGTGCGCTCTAAAAGAAAATCAATAATAAATTGCTTTACAAATTAACGATAAGTTAAATATTTTCATATATTTAGTTTTATAAACAAATCTCCATAATCTTTTTAAATTTAAGAGATGTTAGAAGATTTTCTTACCTGATATGAACTTTCAATGCAGATGTCGTTCGGAATCGTTTTTGACAATATGTACAAACAAAAGGCAATTCACCAGTATGTATCCGATAATGGGTGCCAAAATTATGCCTATAAAGTACCAGACCGCATGTAGGACATTCCATTTTTGGCCGATAAGTATCATCATCGTTAGCATTTGCTAGTGCTCCAATTATTTTCCTTTTGGAATTGATTGCATTAGAATTGTACATACCTAAATTAAAATTCAGTTTCGGTAACCTATCACCCTGAAATCAGAGCATTATGCAATCAAATATAAAACAAGATTTAAAAACATTTTAATCATACTTAAAATATAGGGACAGAAAGTGAGAGAAAGAAAGATGTAGTACGGACCATTTAAAGGAGGATTATGCAGAAAGTTTTTTGTATTTTATGAAATTTCAAGTATTAAACCTTGAGACTCACAACCACCGTCATCATTTCCATTGCTGGCTCCATCACTTCCTCGCCCACATTGCCTTTCAATCGATATATAAATCTTCAATCCACCAGGACTTTGTAATATTCGGGTATTTTTTAACTCAAAAGGTATTTTATCAGACCTGAAATAACTGATTTTTGTTCATCCAAACCAACTATCTATACAGTTAGACTTTAAAAATTATTACTTTATGAAATATTTAAAACCATGTCCCAACAAGCTTCACTCTGCAAGAATAATGGATACGACCTTTCAGCAGATAGCCAATGCTGTTGTTCCGATCCCGAAGCAGACATGAATGAAATGGGTGTTGTTTTTGACGTTCCCGTTACTGTTACTATTTCTGTTTTTTTAATTGGAGAACATTCTGCTTTACATTTCGTTGAAAGTGGAAGATTTGTCGATGTTAAAGAGTTTGTAGAAGTATTTGTCTCAGGTATCAGAACGGGGGGATCATCTCCCTGCGAACAGAAAAAATAATTAATTTGAAAGTGGACATAGATGAAGATAGTTATTGAATTTCGCACAAAATATTCAAAATCTTGGCACTAAAATTTGTCGAGAATCTCTCACCCTGCATTAAAGCAGTTATTTGTTTAAAATCCATCATCGAAATTTATTTACGCAATAAAATATCAGTATCATGAAACTGGATTAATGTTCTTGTCGCGATGGAGCTTTTTTCTGAGAAATCTTCATCTTTCTTGAAATTTTAGAGAAGAAACATACTTTAGCTGTAATTCCAGCATGCGTTGTAGCAACGAAAACAGTAGTTGGTTCCGTAAGCGATGGCATATTCGAAAACACACTGATAGCCTCATTTTCGAATGATTCAATAATACATACTTCCGAATGTAAAAATAATTCTTGCATTGTTTGAAATCGTTTATGGCATTCGGCGCATAGCAATGAATGACGAGAATTTCGAGTTTGAATGTGAATAGATTCACATTGCCTGCTCGACTCAGGCATCCTGAAAATAATTTTTTGGAATTGACCATAGCATAAAATGAAAACATAAAGTTAATGTATATGACACAGTCATATTTGATGCTAACAGACGGTTGAAACTGTTAATTTCTCACATCGATACCTAGTTAAAAATTTAGACAATCGTAAAAAAGTTCTGGACATAATTGTTAAGAAAATGCTACAGCGAGTAATCCATACATTCTTCGGCGAATCTTTTTTTAATATGTCTGGAACTGGTCCATACAATTTTTTCTCTCCATAATAATACTATTGCCTACATAGTCGGTTGCTTCAATAAAACTGCTTCATACTAAACTCTGCAAATGGCAAAACTATTACAAAATTAAATCCATATGACTGTATCTCTAGGTAACTTTACTTTTTTTAATACATTACTGTAACTTGTCAAAGAATGTTTCGCACTCTTGACATTTGTAATACAATTGATTAAAACCAATGTTTTTCGAACCATTTCTCGACATATATATGGACGTAGTTTTTCTAAATTCCTAAGTGCACTATTCATTTCACTCCCACGTTGCAAGACACACCTGCATTCTCTGATAAAACATCTGATTTTCGCGTGGAAATCAAGAGCAATAACAAACACACTTCCATTCAGCACTGCTAAACAATGTAAGCATTATGTCATTTGCAATGGTTTTATCACAGCTATTTTCGAAAATCAATTCCATTCGAATTTAAGAAACATGAAGATATGTACTGAAATACTTTTTACAATGAATTATGCTTCATCTTCTTCCGATCATATAAAATAATTTATACAGTCCACAAGCTTCATATAATAAAGATCTAGCATAGTCATTTTACAATTTTACAAATGAACAGCAAAATAAGCCATATAGCTTGTTAGATTTGTATACACCAGTATTTCATTTACTTAATAGCATCGTTGACATCTACTGCTTACTGTTCCAATAATATTCACAACAAATAAATAACAGATTGCGGTAAAGTTCTTTAAAATTAATTCTCTATTTTAAGCTAAATATGTTAAGATTTGTACATATCAGTATTCCATTTGAATTCTACTTGTAGAAGGTGATAGCCTCCTTTCCAGATCTGTATCGCCCATATTGTCTAGCAATTCACAAAGCATTATATCTCTTCGCCATGCTTCTCGCCTGGATACGATTGTCTTTCGGGCTTCATCATAGCTACTTCTTCGCTTGCTACCTACATTTTCGACTGTCCCAACTCGCTGATTCACCGACTCACCAACATTCATATCCTGGAAACTTTTAAAATAAAGCAAAACTTTAAAATCCAGAAAAAAACTTTGAAAATGAGGTTCTGGGAAGTAGAGCATCTAATCACATTATAATAGCGAGGTCCGTTATTTGCTAGTAAAATATCAAAATCAAAACAAATGCAAAAAAATACCTCAACATCAAGCATTGGAGAGACCGAAAGTACCGGAGGCACCTCATCTATAACCTGGTTTAATGCCTCATGACCCATCGCTAAATAGGTGCGAAAGCGACTCGTCACTTCCTGGAAATCATGATATACATCGCCAAACACGGCCAATCAATTACAACCTAGTTTTTGAAAATAGCTTTGAAATGATATATCATGACACTGCAATTTTATGGAAAAAATATACCTCAATGGTTTTAATTAATAATTTCATCATTGATTGCAACGCGTCTCGTGCCTGCACCGGCCGATATTCATTTATCAGATGATGCATATTGATGAAAAGAAGACGCAAGTTATTGATTTTCTCTAAACGCTCTGGATGGTTTGGACATCTGAAATATTATCATGGCTAAGATTAGAACAACGGAAACAACCTATATGCCTTTCTTCCCATTTTTACGTTATTCGATACTATTTGAGAGTTTTTTCCCTTCGGATCTACTTATGATATCTTTTTGATGATCAATTCGAATATACCGAACACACTCGAAAAGCGTAAGAAATCACAAAATCAAACTCAACAATAATAGTACATAATAGTATAATTAGTATTATTTTTCTCTAGTTATTTTAACAGCAATATACCTTATCACATGGCGCAATAGTGATGAAAGGTGAAAAGTTTCGTCCACTACATCAAATTATGTTCTATTAAATTTTTATCCTTAGATCAAATCTATCTTTTTTCCCTCTCGTTTTTCTATAAATTTGACTGCAGCAATATTTACATGAATGTTTGTTCTTTTACTTTGTTCAGAGAAAATACTGCATCGCTAACTTTGACAAAAATTTAATAAAAGAATTACTTTTCCCGATTTTTTTCTGTCTTTCTACCTTTGATCTGCATTTATGGTACTGAATAAATATTCGAGAGAGCATATTATAGTCATTTGGATTCAATGATGGCAATAAAAGTCACATTATAGAGCCAAAGAAATGAAAATAATGCAATCAGACAATCGGATTTTTTGTTAGGTATAAGAGCTTACCGTATAAGGATATCGAGAAGATCAAGGAACGCAGCAACCGTGCTCCTGTTTAATTTCTTCAATTCACTTCTCCAATCTCCATTACTTGAAAATAACTGCTGCATTTTTTGAGATTGCAATGATCGTATCATTTCCTGCAGTGTCATTTAATTTTTGTTTCAATTTTTTTGCCAAAAATTTACCTAAATAAAAAGTTTATTTAGATAAATTTCAGAAAAAAAGAAATTCCAATCCAATTCAGTTCGTCTAAAAAAAAATTTCGTTTTCTGGACTGCAAAAATTCAACAGGGAATTTCACCACTGCCGAATTTTTGATTAAACCATTCTCAACTCATATGGAAAAATTAAACTAATTAAACGGAACAGTTTTTAAATTAATTCGACGAATGGCATTATTAGATTTTTTCGTTTTCCGGAACGCAGAATTTTTTGGACGAACTAAACTGGATTGGAATTTTTTTTAATTTACCTGAATTTTTAAACTAAAACATTTCAATTATTATTTCCTGTGGAAAACAAAAATAATATTTCAAGTCCGAGGAAAAAAATGAAATATATAAACGAAAGATAGGAAACCTCCTCAAAATTGTATTCTTCGCCAAAAACTGTAAATTCTGATGGTATAACTGGTGGTGGTAAAACATTCTTCTTCGCCACATTGGCATCTGTATACTGACGAGCATATTCCGGTGGTTGAGGAAACGGACTTACACCAACCGGATGAGCAGCCATATATACTTTTTAGCTTTACCAAAACCTATGAATGCAGTATTCGGCAGATCATTAACCTGAAACAAAAATGTATAAATCATAACTTATATCATAGCTACGTAAATTTGAAGTGCGATGAGTGAACCTTTGGCTAACTGCATTACTATACAAACTAGTAATACTAACTACTGAGAACTCAGAAAGGGGTCCCTCCCTCTCCACTACCCAATCCGGAATTGTCCCCTTTAATAGAGTTACTACAGTCACATCTTGGCTAACTGGGAAATGAAGTAAACGTTCGTGGAACACTCACAGCCCGAGTAGAGCCGCATTAATCACATGAAAAGATTTAGTATTTTCAAAGGAAATTTGGTTGAATTTCTAAAAAGTGAAAACATTGAAATGAATTAGCAGAACAGTACAAAATATGAGATATGTAGGGAGTGTGTGCTTAACAACTAGAAAGTCGAGGAACAGGAGAGGAAGCTAAAGATATTAGTGATGTGAATGAACGTGGGAAGAAGGGTTACAGAACGAGATGAAATGAGTTATGTTTTCAGTTGTGGTAGGTTTGGGGACGAGAAGATTGAATTGTGATAAGTTTGGGGACGAGAAGGTTGAGTTGTGATAAGTTTGGGGACGAGAAGATTGAGTTGTGATAAGTTTGGGGACGAGAAGATTGAGTTGTGATAAGTTTGGGGACGAGAAGGTTGAGTTGTGATAAGTTTGGGGACGAGAAGATTGAGTTGTGATAAGTTTGGGGTCGAGAAGATTGAGTTGTGATAAGTTTTGGGACAGGAGATTGAGAATGGATGAAGGAGGTCTGATTGTCTTGTTTTGTTTCCATTTGTATAGTTTTCCTTTATGCATTTCGGTTTTCTGGATCGTATAGAATGCATAGGAATGCTGCATTTTCTTAATGGAGAAGATAGGGAGATGGTGGTTTTCCGAATTAGAGAGATAAGAAAAGAGCAAGAAAAAGATATTTTAGTGGGTTAATGGATTTTTGATGCAGTGAAAAAAGCAGAATGAACAGGAGAGAATGATCATCGATCTAAAGATCAAAAATGATTATTAGTCGACGATTAACTTCCTTTTATTCGAGTTGAAAAATTACAGACACTGATTAGTACCACATGTCTTGCTTCATTGCTGTCCACAGTAAGTTAATGTTTTGTATGGAATCAACAAAGTGATTATAATTGTCCAGTGAACTATAGAATTCGTAAATCCGGTAAAATAAATAACGTTTTTTAGGTAAGGCAATCGAGAAATGTAAATAGATCATGCGTGCAATATTGCTTCTCATTAATTTTTGAGAATATTCGGGAGTATACAAGAATTTGATCGTCTCATATGCAAATGAATGTAGTAAATTGTCGTATTTTATTTTTGATACAATTTATATGCATTTACATGTACTTGTTGTGTAGGAGAAGCACTGATTAAATGGCTTGAGTTAAACAAAATGGAATTGTTACTTTTGACCGATCATTGCGGGTGACATTGACAAGCAAAAGAGCTCATCATCTAACCAATTAACTCTTCTCGGTCAACAAGAAACAAAAAGATTGACGAAGAAGTGATTTAGCGAGACGAACGAGATTGATGTCTCATTAAGACAAAGGATTATATCTGAAAAAATAGTGAATCGATTGAGTAGAATTAAAGCAATTACCTTAGATTCATTTCACGGTTTATTTTAATGTTACATTATCAGTTCAAATTGGTAAGAGTAGTGCGTGAAGAATGTAATTTGTAGACAGCTTGGATAAAGGAAGAAAAAAATTAACAGGATGAAACCGAAAAAAAGCTTGAATAAAGAAAGGAAAGATGGTTAAAAAAAATTAACCACTAAAATTAAATTTTTCCAATTTTCTCCCATATTTACTGGCAAGCAGCATTAGTATAGAGAAGAAGTCAGGAAATTAATTCATTTGCATCATTTTTTTCTCCATCATCAATCTCATGGATTGTCTTAAATTTCCTTATATAGCAAATGTTGATTGATATCCCTACTATTCTGCGATTCCGTCGGAAGAAACCAAACCTACAGATATGTAAAATACTTCGGTACAAAGATTGATTATTTGGATAACACTATCAATCTGAGCAATGTCCAATGTTTCAAAGTCCATTTGTTCTATCAACTTCGACTAATTTTGCTTCCTTCTTGTCCGCTCACATTCATTCCACTTTAAATCAGAAATTCGACAGGCAACTTTAGCAATGATACTTTTGGCATTCCGTTTCATCGTCACATTTTTTCAGTCTCATTAAACGATTTGACTGGAAATAAGAGAAAAAATATTTGTCGAAATAAATTTTTCGAAAAGTCGAAATAAATTTTTCGAAATTCTCTTTTTTTGTATATTTTCATTTAAAAGAATTTCTCCCTACAATGACTGCACTTATTCAATAATCATCATAATTTCGTAATGCTTGCACACCTGAGAATCGATCGATAAGCACATGTTTTTTTTTATCATAGCAAAATAAATTAATTATTTAGGAGTTTTTTCATACAGTAATGCAGCACTCCTATCATTTTAAAGTTGCCAATAAATTAAAGAATGATTTCATCCTCCTCTTCTTTTAAAATCACTTCATTTATATTTTATTTTTTTGTTTTGACAAATATGTTTTACAAAAAGAAAAAGAAAAAAGAGAAAAAAAAGTGTGAAAAAAGTGAAAATGATGAAAAAATAAAAGATTGTGAGTCGATTAAGTTAAGCAACAAATCATATGTAAGTGTTTGTGTGGAATGACAACAAGTTACTAAACAGTGATGATAAGTGTAAGGGAGAGGGAGAGAAAGAGAGAAAAAGATTGTCAATCATTGATGTCTTATTAAATAATAGTAGTAGCAAATGCTTCTCCTCCTCTCTTCTCTCTTAACCTTTGTAGCATTCTTTCATTTCATGTCTCTGTTTCTAATATAATTTTTCCCATTTTTCATGTGCTATTTCCATATTTATTTTAAAATTTTAGGAATTTTTGAATGGCGAAAGATTTTTATCAATTTTCATCAATTTATCAGATTTCATTTTTCGAAAGATCAATTTATCAATTCATCAATTTATCACTGATATGAGAAATGTTAGCATTTCTCATATTAGTTTTCAATTTATTACTGATATGAGAAATGTTAGCATTTCTCATATTAGTTTACCTATCTTTTGTATATCTTTTTATCTTTTCTAATTCTACTATAAAGCATGCTATCGATTATTTCCGTTGCAAACATTATGGATTGAATCATCTCAACGCCAAGGGCAATGTCAGATAGTCTAATTTATAGCTTACTGTTTGTTAATTGTTGTATTCATTGGTTACTAAGAAAAATTTAATTCTTCGCGTTAAACAATTAAATTAATACAAGTGGAAATTCAAGGAGAAATGTCTGATTGATTTGCTTTTAGAATGCCAGCTGTACTACTAGAAGAAGTGGTGCGAGATGGAAAAGTAATGATGCATTTTGCAAATTCTTTCTTTTAATTGTGAGACATTTAAAGAGGTCTCAAAATTCTATTCTATTGAATTGGTTTTATTGAAAGCATTTATACTTAGCGATCTATCCGATAAATGTTTATAATTAGTTTTTTTTTTGTTGCTGCTTACATTTGATTACTTACTCACATGACTTTTGCATATGTATGGTAAGTGAGCGCTAAGGTAAAATGATTGAGTGAGTTGTTTTTTGTTAATCAGTGCAGAACTTGTCGTCGTTATATTATCTCCGCTTCTTTTCGCGGTTTCACCGAGAAGGGGAGTTATTTTCGCGGTTATTGCGTATTTACACGTATTTATTGCGATAAAACCGCATGAAAACTTTCCTTCTCCCTTTGCACACTATGAAATTTTGGTGTGTATTATTTTTTTTTTATAAGGATGGTCGATCGAGGAAGTCATTTTCAGCAAACGAATGAGGATCATGGCGATAGCAAAGAAACAATCGATAAACTTGTTAAGGTACTTTATTGTTTCATTTCTTTTAAAAAAGGAAGACGAAGGAAGGAAATGAATTTTTTCAAATATTATGTTGATTCATTTGCAGTAATTGTTTCAGGGAACTTCGCCATTATGGATTCAATTGATTATTCTTCTTTTACGTGCATGGTTTTTTATATATGATTGCTTAAACTATATACCATACGAGCTCTTCAACTCACCCACCGCTAAATTAAAACGAAGTGAAAGAATAAAGGTTAATTCATTCTATTTGATGGCAGCATTTTCGTAGAGAAACTGTTTTGAAACAGTTATGTTGATTTTATGATCAGTGAAGAGATCTCTCACTAAACAGTGGCACTATCAGTTCATCCTTATCGGCAGCGTAATTGAAAATTTATACTTCCTGCACCACACTCTGTCATTTGAATCTTACACGTTTAGGCAAGACCAATCAAGGGTCCTGATAACCCATGGATTAATGTAGATGGTCCGCTCACTGAAGATTTCCCGGGTGTAGATACAGTTGATAAACTGTTCACATATGTGGCAAAATTGTATGATGACAAACCGGCGTTAGGTACTCGAGAATTACTGGAAGTGTATGAAGAAAAACAAACAAATGGAC